GGGGGAATGAAACTGGATTTTTCCCAATTAGAATCATTTCTTGGTCATTTGTAGCTTAATTGGATTTTCACATGGCTGCCAGTGGGTTAGAGAATGGCTCTCATATGGAATGCAGTCGGCGTAGGCCAGTTAGATGTTGTTGCGTGCCTTAGAGAAAGACCACGACGACCACGAGAATAGCCTTTTGTTATGCACGGGCTGTGGCGCTTGTCTGGGGCACATTAAAGGCGCATGAATGGCCTGGCAATAAATATTACGAAAAAATTTGCCTTTATGGCATGCTAAACGTGCTGTAACAACACCAGCAACAACAGCAACAGCCAGAACAACAATTGCGACACTAAGCCACCATAAGCCTATTATTTAATTTGCAGCGAGAGGGCATACAGTGGCTCAGTGTTTCGACGGTTCGACGGTTCGACGATGGCTGCTCGTGCAAATGAACTTTTCAAACGTCCGTAGAGTACATAAGTTTCGTTCGAGAAAGTGCACGAAAAGTTGCAGGCGACGCATTGATGCTGCCAAGGAAGATGTAGACGGAGTCGCTGATATGGACATACATTTACCCAAACATCATCAGTCATCACCCTCGCAGTTTTTATATTTTGAGGGTTGCAAAGCGGCAACAAGACACTTGGCAAATAGACTGGCAACTGTGCAGCAGATACTTTTCGGGCACAACAACAGCAACAAGAAGAGCAGATAGTACAGCAATTCGTTACGGTCAGCTACAGAGAGATATAAAATATATATATAGATACGGATACAGCACAAGATATATACGCATCACATGCCCCCAGACTCTGCCACTTGGCAACAGCATAAAACATTGATGACTGCCTTGTTGTTATTGTTCCCGCTCCACTGTTCCTGACTCTCGATTCTCGTTGTCATTGGCAACTTCTCCTATGCGAAAAGTTGAGAATTTTCACAAAAATCAATTTAGCAAGCTACACTTTCATGTTAAATCAATTGAACTCAGGCGTGCGTCGACTGTCAGTGTCATTGGCAGCTGTCCTCGGTGAGACAGAGAGAGAGAGAGACACATTGGCAGAGTGTAAGAGAGAGAGACAGAGCGATACAGAGGGAGGGAATTACCTGCCAGATACCGTTAGTAGCATATAGCTGGCCCATTGCCGTACCCCATAGTTTATCTCACTAACAAGGCTAATTGGTCATGATGCTTGACTCGGCTCGGCGCGGCTCGAAGCGCTCATTGCCTGACATTGCCACACGCCACAGTTGCTGCTGCTGCCACACAAACGCTCCGCTATCTCTCGTGCTCTAGCAAACTCCGGCACATCCTACCGTTCGTTCACGTCCGTTTTCCACGTCCACCCACCGACGACACGCGGTGACACCTGTCACATCACACAATGAAAATCAGTCGAGCTACGAGTCGCATTGCCTGCGAAATATTGTCGCTTGGCATTTTACAGTGAAGCTCGGACGAATGTAGTTGGCTATTTATTTGGCTGGTTAGTTGGCCAGTTGGTTGCGATGGATGGCCATGAGAGTGCTTTACAGTTGATGATGATGATGCTGCGCTGCTGCTGCTGGTTCCGATGATGATGATGATGATGATGATGATGATGATGATGATGATGACCATAAAGGGGCAGGCAGTGTGCAAAATTTGAGTATTCAATCAGATGGATAACTGTGCAAGTGATTTCGCTTCTCTTCAAATGGTTAATAAAACACACACACACATACACAGAGAGTACTTGGCAGCACTTGAAATTTTTTTTGGCATAAAATTAACTGTTTGCTCGTAGCTACCTCTTCGTGCAACTTTACCGATAGAAAGCAATGCTATAAACATTGTGCAGTAACGTTTCGTCAACACTAAGAATAGTCCTAATAGACGCTGAAGAACTTCAACTTAATAGTTTCCAAGTCTCAGATAACTATGTGCGCATATAAAATCTGGAATTTGCTTGTCGGCAAATGCGAATGAAAGGTCAGTAGCACAAAATGGCATATGAGACTTGATTAACTCTATTCCAGATAGATATGCGCTTTGCTATATATTTGATAAGTTCGCTTCCATTTGCGGAAACCTAATTTAAGATTTCTAGCAGTCACTAAGAAGTTGCATTCAATTGAACACCTTGTGGCAATTCGTTATTGGCAACTAGTTTATCAATAAGCCATGTTCGAAGTGCTCTCTTCAGTCGCTGAGTGCCTTTTCTTACTTTGGATTGCACTCAACAATTGGACCCTGTTTCAGCAGCAATCGCAGCGGCTCAATTCAACAGTACAGAATTGAACAGAACAGAAATGATAAAAAAGAACACTTTACAAATGCACTAACCAACAAGGCAACCAGCCAACAATGCATAAGCCACCCAACCACTCGCCTGACCCGCTGCTTCTGCTCTTGCTGCTGTTGCTGTTGCTGATGTCGTTCATTCAGTGCCCTCTTTGCATGTCCGGCATTTCGCACCAATTGTTGCCATTAAATTTGCACGTATAAAGCGAAAATGCCAAAAAAATATTGCCAGCGACAACGAGACCAGAAGAACACACACAGAACAGCCATAGAACCACACACACAACCACACACACACACCCACACCCACACACACCCACCGTACACACAAAACAAAAACGACAAGCGACAAATGCCGGCAACACGTAGCCGGCAATCACTAGACTTTTGTATTGGACTGGGCATTGGCAACTGGGATGCTGGGCAGCTGGGTAGCTGAGTGTGTGTGACTGGGAGGCTGGGAGCGGGTGGCTGAATTCCTTTTATTTGAATTTCTTTATGTGAGACTGCGACAAATTTCACGCTCAAATGTTTGACGCGCGCCGGCGCAATGCGGCTGCAGCATCCACCGAGCGAGCGGACGAGCGACAGGACCAAAGAGCATCCCAGCGACAGCAACAGCAGCGGGCCAAAGGATGCCGGCAAAGCGGAAATGTTCAGTTCATTAGCGAAGCGTGCGCGTCGTGCAACGGACGTGCTTTTTTTTGTGGCCGGAGCTCATTTCTAGTTGTAAGTCGCGTACTCTGTGGCAAGTTGCTTTGTTCCTGCCACGCCGTCGCCAAGCTATCGGGCTATCGGTGTGAGGTGTGGAGCGCGCGCGCGCGACTTCTTCGTTTACTGTATGTGTGTGACTGTGGGACTGTGTGTGTGCGTGTGCGTGTGCGTGTGTGTGTGGTCGGACAAAGTCAAAGCCAACTAGACAAGTGCAAAAACCCGGCAAAATTGCCAACTTCAAGCGTAATTAAATAATTAATTAAATCAAACAAAAGGCGGCTAAAAGAATTTCGCGAACAATTAAACAGAATCCGCGTGGTTAAAAAAAATAAGTAAAACAAAGCTGGACCGCCGGGCTGCCTGGCATTCTGTCCGTCTGTTTGGCTGGCGGTTTAGGCTGTTTACTAGCAATAAGAAAGGTCAATAATCAGCCTCAAGCCACAAACAATAGTACACCCCAAAAAGTGCTGGCTAAGACGTGGGCTTTAGAACCGGTTGCTCTTCTCCAGCCACATTTGTCGTCCAGTGCGTGCTCTGCCCGTGTCCAAATCAGCCAGCAAAGAGCGCTGCTTAATTAGAAACGGCGCTGGCCAACACCTGTACAAGAAAAGCAAATCATATATATATATATATATACATATATATACATATATATGTATGTGCACATTTATACATACATATTTTTAGTCTGCAGCAGGTCGTAGCAAAAACCGCAAAGCGCCGCTTGATGGCCAACTGACTGACTGACTTAAGAATCTGCAGTCAGTGTGAGCGCAGCATCAGCATCAGCATCAGCATACCATCATCATCATCTCCATATCAATCAACATCATCATGAGTAGCAGCAGCCGCAGCAGTGCGAATTCTTCGTCTTGGCCATGGCCAAGAACTTGACGCCGCCACCGCCGCCGCCAACACGAACATTGGCCAAAGAGCATCGCGAGAGTCGCAAGTTGTTGGCCAAAGTTACATGGTTGCGTCTCAGTCTCCATCTCAGTCTCGGTCTTCGTTTCAGTCTCGGTCTCAGTCTCGGTCTCAGTCACTGCCCGCAAAGCCGGCTTGCGCTCTCTGCGTCGCGACGTCGCTGCCGCAGCGCTGCTGGCGTCGTGTCGGGACTGCCAACTTGCTGGCGCTGCTTCTGCGAAATTTCTGTGCTTAAGCGTGGGGAATTCTTGCAATGCATAAATGCCAGCTAGCACTTATTCATTGACCACAGCGCAGGCGGCGTTCACGCTAGCAGCGCCAATGCACAGTGGGCCCAAGCCGTGAACACACTTCAACTGACGCTTAAAGTAAATTTAGAATATTTTCAAATCATTTTAATCTTAAAAACGATTTTTTTGAGTAAAAATAAGTTTTTGTTATTATCTACTCGAGTTCTTTTATATCCATATATTTTTAAGCTTATCAACAACTTAATCTATTTCGTAGTATAATCATAATGTTTAGTTTATTAAATTTGTAATTTTAATGTGATTTCTTTATTTATAAAATATTTAGATTTTATTTGATTTACAATTTTATTTCAATCACAATTATTTTGTCCACTGTACGCGGCCGTCGGCGTCAGCTAGCGAGATCCAAATGATGAGCAACTTTGTTGCCGTCACTGAGCATTTGAGTGTGTTTGCTGGTGTCGACGTCTCTGCGTATGTGTGCGTGCATGTGTGTACTTGTGTGTTTGCGTTCACGTGTCGCTGCCGCAGTTGGCGTCGCTGCTGCTGTCTGTGTATGTGTGTGAAGTTCTTTTGCGCTCTCAGCGCTTGGCGAGTGTCGCTCTCAGCGTTTGGTTTGGCCCCGGCCCGGCTTCACTTGGCATGTTCGTTCGACGCTGCTGCTGCTGCTTCTGCTGACGTCGCTGTCGCTGTCGCTGCTGTTGCTGCTGCTGCGACGGTTGTCGCTGTCGCGATGTTGGTTCGTTCGTTTCGTTTGATTTTCACCAAAAGCCGCTCGACGTAGGCTATATAAATAAGCGCTGAGAAGCTATTGGGTCCGAGTCTCTTTGAATTTTATGAAGCGGTTGTATCTTGGTGGTGCCCCAACAGCCAGCCAAGCCAGCTGCCAGCGAGCCAGCCAACATCAGCCCAGCAACAAGCCACCAGCCGACCAACCTAGAACCCGAGTTGGTCTCGTTGTCGTCTGCAGCAGCTTCATCTAAAATTGTCAAATTTCTTGGCAGTTTTTTTATCAGAAGCTAACGAACTATTGACACAGTGGATTATTTTTATGCAGCAATTGCAAAAAAAAGAAAAACCAATTGGTGATTTTAAATACTAAAATAAAAGTTTCAATTAAAAAACTAACAAAACTGTTAAATCAGTGCGCGAAATGTTAAGCATCAACATCCACAAGGAATAAGGATCTAAAACTGTGCAACAAAGTGCAACAAACGAATCTTCACTTAGATAAAAATTAAAAACAAAAACTGCAGTACAAGTGGCAAAGTGTTAAAAAAGAATTTTAAAAAGTTCTTGACGAAAATTAATTCGTTCAGTTTCTTGAGTGAAAAAGGTGAGTTTCAAGTGTCCTTCTGAGGATTTGAAGTCTTTAGTAAATTTTTTAACTAAGATTTAAAATACTTTCAAAAAACTTTCATAAAATGTGTATTATAAAATAATTTAAAAAATTCTTGAAAATATGAGTTTTTTTGAAACTGTTGACAAAAATTAAAATTTTGTTTAATGATTAACAAAATTAAAATATATATAATAAAAAATAAATAGTCAAATTTTATCAACGTGTTAAAAATATAATTTTCTATACAAATTTAAAAATAAATTTTTTAAATTTAAAAATGTATTAAAAATCTAAAATTTTTTAAAACAATGAAATATAAAATATATATATTTTTCTAACGATATAAATCAAATAAGAAATTTATGCAAAGCAATTTGCTAAAATGATTCATTTTTTATTTTATTTTTATGGAATGAATTTTGAATAAATAATTTAAGCAAATATGGAGAAAGTTTCTTATTTGTAAATTGTATAACAAATATATATTTTTTATAGTTCTTTGTTCTCAAGTTAAAAAAATACTTAAATTATTTAAAAATATTTTAAGATTTTTGTATTCAATTTTTTTCAAATATAAATATGCAAACAATTTTATAAATTGCGTAACTTAAAGACAATAATTGATGTGAACTGAAGTATTTAAATATTGAATTTAGCATAAAATTTGCATTCATTGAAATTTGCGTTCCGACTTGGATGAGTAAAGTACAGATCCTCAGCGCAATAGTCATGCCCATTTAAAATGTTATTAAAGATTTTTATATAAATATATTTTTTTCGCCTTTTATTGCAATTAGATTTGCACTTGTGCAAATGTCGCGCAATTTTAAAAACGAGTTCGTCTAATTATTCATTAACTTAACTAGTTTTCTAAAGAAGAACTCGACTACTGTAGGGCATAGCCCATTAAGGTTCTGTGATTCACTGGTTTTCATTTACGCGAATCTCGGCAAAGCAGTTGGAAACCTGCGGCACATTTCAATTACGGACTCTATGGCAAACAATTAATAACAATTTATTGTTTTACAAAAATTAAACCAGAGCCAACCGTGCGTTAAAACGACCAGCCAGGCAGCTAGGCAGCCAGCCAGTCAGGCAGTCAGACCAGGCCGGGGCTTTTCAGGCAGTTAATGCTCAAAGTTATTCATTCATAAAAAACGGCAAACACTTGGCGGGGACGGCGGCTGCAGCTGTTGGCGCAAATTGCAAACATTCATTCATTTACTCGCTCATTCATTCATTCAGAATTGGCGAGGCGCCGCGGGCCGTTGCACAGCGTTAGCGCCCCCTCATTACGGTCCGCCCTATCCACGCCCGCCTCAGGCCCCAGGCCCTTTGTGAAAAATAGTTTTTCCTGGCTATTTAATTTATGTGGAAAGGCCATTTACTGGCCACTTGCCCCTGGCAACGGTTGCCCCGTGTGTCCTGGCTAAAAGTTGTAGTGCAACTTCTAATTAGAATTTATGCCCATGCCACAAGTTCATCCTATGCTGCAGCAACTTTTGCCAGGCACGTAAAAACTAAAATTGTGCGCTTGTAAAAGCTTTTAGTTGGTCATAAATAATACAAAAACTATGGCAAGCCAAACCGAAACCAGCAAAAGAAGCAAAAAATCAGAAAAGTGCCAACTGAAATAAAAGCCAAATATGGTTTATTTATAGTTGGGGAAGAGTCTTCCATAGCTTCGGCAATAAAAAATGCAAATAAAATGCCGCAATATGTGCACATACCAACTGGCATCCTTTGCCCTGCCACCCATTCCGCCCCTTTAATATGGCCAACAGCCTGTCCGGAAATCGAAATGATTTTAAGCATTATTTGCTTTTGGCCAGATATTTCATTGGCAGCTGGCCAGCCACGACTGCACAGAACAAGGACAAGCGTCAGGGTTAGGGCCAGGGCCATGGCCAGCAGCAGGTGTTTGGGGTTGTTTTTTCAAGGGCTGTTGCTGTTGCTGCTATTGCTGCTGCTGCTGCACTTTAGCCAAAACTGTCCCTTGGCCATGTCGCACAGCAACTATGTGATTTATAGACAACATTTTGCTTGGCTCGAATGGAGTTTCTCTGCAACAGCAGATTTATTGATGAGCCAACACAAAAAAAAGCATCGAAACATGGCAAATAGCAAAACTCAGTAACAGACAGGCTGCCTGAACCATGCCATCCACATCTTGTGGTGTGCCACAGAACGCCAGAGATTCGCAGCTGCAGCTGCAGCATTTTAATTAAAAGCCATGTAATGCGGCTTAGATAGTTTTTGGCAAGCGAATTGCTGCCTGTGGGTTTTGTGGCTCGTTCGATCCGTTAGTACTTATCAAACAGAGACACACATTGCGTATGCTTGATTTGCTGACACACGTGCCCCTCAACAGTTTGATGAACTAGCAATGCTGCCAATGCCAATGACCATTTCGGACCACTTTTAATAGCGCTCAGATATACACGTATGTATATGTGCTCGTCTCTCTTGAAAATTTCGTGCCAAGGTTGAGTTAGTTTCTTGATTCACTGGGCCGCTGCCTTTCTTTTGTGAGTTGGCCAAGCTTCCTCGCAAAATTATCATAACAATTAAAAGTGATTGCAGTCGAGGCCGTCAGAACGCAACACATTCAAATTATGTTGTTGGCTTTTTCTTTCTTTTTTTTCGTTAGGTTCTTTGACTCTATGTAAATTTTATTTTAATTTTTGCTAGAAAGAAAGATTAAAAGCCAACTGCGAAGAAGCCAACCCTTCTGGTGGTTTACCTTACCAAAAAAAAGCAGAAAAAAAGAAGAGAAGATACTATAAAATTCATAATTAACTGTCGCTATTTTAAGTTATGATGAGGGCATCGCAGCTGACATCAGCACCCAAAGGAGCCTGTGACTGAGAACCTGACAAATTATATAATAATAGGCTTCCCTCTGAAGTCTCTGGAGTTGGGCATTGTCTTTTGTCGTTAGCTGCGGCATAATTAAATTAAAGGCCGCATTATGCAAATCTAATGCCGCGCTAATTGAGTGAAAAGCTGCAGTCCATAACTCAATTCATATACTTGTTGTATCTATCAGATACACCAATTAACCAAATGCACACTCAAGCGATTGGCTCTGGCCCACAAATCAATTGTCTCTGGCGATAACAGCTGCCAAATTAAACGATGACGGCCGCTGGCTGGCCATTGAATGTATATTTGGCAATATACTGATATGTACATTTGGCAATACACTGATTACCTTGGCGGCGACTATATCAATTTTATCTGTATGCACAGAAATATGTATCTATTTGTTTTTCTTGCCTTTATGGCACCCACAACCGGGCAGCACTTGAGGCGAGCACAAAGCCAAAGCCAAAGCGTTGGCCAAGTCGCTATTTTTGTGATTTTTTTTTATAATTGAGTAAATCGGTTTATGTGCAGCATTAGCATTGTTGTTGGCCATTCTAGTTGTTGTTTTTGCAGCTGTTGCTGCTGCTGCTGCTGCTACTGCTGCTACTGTGTAAAGAAAGTAAGCGCAACTAAGCACATTACGAGTTATTCATGGAGTGACACTTGCCGCGCATTACGCCCAAACGCCAAGGTTAAAGCGTGGCATAGAACCATGCACACGGCCATTTACAGGTATTTACCTGCCACAAGAACTTGACTCTCGTGGCTCTAAGTGTGTCGCGGGGCGCAAATTTCTCTAACCCAAATTGTTGTCGCTGCTGCTGCTGCGGCCGCCTCGTTGTTTGTTTCGGGGCGGCGATCTGGTTTGTGGCTGCCACTGCTGCTACTACTGCTGCAGATGCTTTTAAGTTCAATAGCCAAAGAAAGTGGCTGGCAGTAGAAAGAAAAAGTGTGCAGGCCGGTGGCTAATGGGCCACGGCTAATACCAAACGAGAAGCGACACAGATTCCATGCTTACCCTGCGCCTGTAGACCTGTCGTATACGTAATGTCAGTTATTGGCAATGCAGTTCAACAATTGCCCATTAATGGCCAATAGCTAGCCTATTTGCATTTAGCCGAAAGTGTTAATGCACTGGCCATTAGCTTAAAACGATTTTATTACCCGCTAGGATCGCGAATTCTACACAGTTCCCGACTTTTATGCTTTTCTTCAATATATTTTTTATGGACAACGCCCATTCGCTTTAATGGTTGGCTCGTAAAAAAAACCCTTTTGGCATTCGGCATGCCACTTAAATGTTAGAAAATATAATTCCGATTTAAGAGCCAGCGCGCGTACATAATGGCCAATAAGGCCAGAGTCACAGCCAATTGGTTGTAATTCAATGTGCCAATGCGGTCAAGGTGTCAAAATCTACATCCACATCCACAGACAGTTGTGCTGAAGTGTGTGTGTGTGGGTTTATTTAGTGTAATTTCTGATTTTGGCCAATTATTTGCTGCTTATTAGCTGTCACAACTAATGCGTGCTCGAATCGGGCCAAAAGCCAAACAGTTATGCCAACAGCAGCAGCAGCAGCAGCTCGATAATTAAGCCAACGGCACTCCAAAAACTAAAGAGCCAAAAAGCTAAAAAGCAGAAATTGAATATTTGAAATATATAGCCCAAATTCAGAGATCCCAGTGCCCAAGTTGAAGAAAGCCCATAAATTAATTCAATCGGCAGCTGCAATTGCCCCTTGGCCAAATCAAAAACTTGCGGCTCGCGATCGTCGCGTATCTGCCAAGAAAAAAATCGAAGAAATTCTTTTGTGAGAAAATATGCGAAAAGTCGACAAAAGCCAACGCCAAGCGGTGGTTGGCCACTCCATGAGCTGAATAGGCAAAAGAAATCAGCCAGTCGTAGTATAAAAAAAAAAAATAATAAAAAAATAAAAAGTAGAAATAAAAAAATAAAAATAGAAATAAAACAAGTTGTGAACGGGACGCGCAGTGCTCGCTGCTTGCTGCTTGCTGATTGTGCTTCTGGCAATCGCATTGCCAATGAGCTGCTGTTGTTTCTGAAGATGTTTCTTTCGTTTCGTTTCTTGAATGAAATTAATTTCTATTGTATGCCTAAGTAAA